GAGCAAAACAAACACAAAAATGGCATTCAGTGTTATCATTGCAAGAGATATGGCCATATAAAAGTTGACTGTTGTTATAAAGATCAACAAGTGAATTATGCAGCAGAGAATGGAGAAGAAAATAAGTTTTTTATGGCTCATTTTGCTATTAATAATAATTCAAGTGAATTTTACTTTATAGACAGTGGTTGTTCAAATCACATGACTGGCACAAAATCCTTGTTCAAAGAGCTTGATGCAACACAAAAAGTGAAGGTTCAACTTGGAAATGGAATATAAATTCAAGTTGAAGGGAAAGGAACAGTGGCACTTGAAACTACTAATGGTAAAGTAAAAGTTCTGCATAATGTGCAATTTCTACCTAACTTGGGATATAATTTATTAAGTGTCGGACAACTAATGGCTAGAAGTTATTCAATATTATTTGAGGATGATACGTGTGTTATTAGAGACAAAAAATTAGGACAATTGATGATTAAAGTTCAGAAAATAAAATGTTCCCATTGCAAGTCCCAAATATGCAGGATATGGTTATAGTTATTGGTAGATTAGATGAATCACAATTATGGCATCTTCGGTAAAGGCATCTGCATATCAAAGGTCTAAAATTTTTGGGTGAAAAAGGTATGGTTTTTGGGCTCCCAAAAATTGATTCTATTGAGTTATTGGAAGGGTGCATCTACATCAAAAAAACTAGAAAATCATTTCCAGTAGGAAATAGTTGGAGGGCTTCAAAGTGTCTTGAATTAGTACATGCTAATTTATATGGACCTATGCATAATGTATCTTTTGGTGGGAGCCTTTATTTTTTACTTTTTACTGATGACTTTAGCCACATGAGTTGGGTTTATTTTTTTGAAATGAAGTCAGAAACATTTCAAAAATTCAAGCACTTTAAAGTCAATGTTGAGAAACAAAGTGGTGCTCACATCAAAGTTCTCTGCACCGATAGAAGTGGAGAGTTCTTATCGACAAAATTTAAACTCTTTTGTGAAGAACATGGCATTCATAGGGAGTTGACAATTCCTTCCACTCTGGAGCAAAACGATATCGCCGAGCAGAAAAATGTGAACTATTGTATAGATGCAATGAGCATGTTATAAGCAAATGGACTTTCCAATCAATTTTGGGCTACATCAGTTTATTTGTTAAATCTATCTCCCACATGGGTTGTGTCATGAATCAAACTCCATTTGAAGCTTGGCATGGTAGAAGACCATCTGTAAGTAAGTTAAGGATTTTTGGGTGCATTGCTTATGCTTTGGTAAATTCTCAATATTTTCATAAACTTGATGAGAAATCAAGAACAGATGTAGTATTTGATGAAAATGCAAGCTAGAATTGCCACGGAAGTAATGAGAAGACACAACAAATTCCTCTTGAAATTTTTCTATATTAAAGTGCAGAGTCAACTCCTGCAAATTTTTGTAGTTGGTTCCATTATGGCATCACCAAATTCATCAAACTTAACATCATGAATTTGAAGTTCTTCATCAGATGAGACACCACCCAAGAAATTTAGATCTTTGAGAGAAATATATGAATCTTGCTAATTTGCTCTTGCTGTTTCAAATCTGATTACCTACAAAGAAGCAGCTGATAAAGAAGAATGGCAAAATGCAATGATGGAAGAATTTACAGGAAATGAAAAAATGGAACATGGGAAATGGTGGGCTTATTTGAAGGGAAAAATAGTATCTATTTGAAGTGGGTGTTTAAAACATAATTGTTTACTGATGGCAGTATAGAAAAGCATAAAGCTCAACTCGTGGCAAAAGGTTATACATAATTACATGGTGTTGATTTTGAAGAAACATTTTCTCCAGCAGCTCGCTTTGAAATGGTAAGAATTGTCTTAGCATTGGTTGTACAATTACAATGGCCTTTTTATCAATTTGATGTTAAATAAGTATTTTTGAATGGTGATTTACAAGAAGAGGTTTATGTAACCCAATAACATGGTTTCATAATTAAAGGTAAATAAAAGAAAGTAGAAAGTGTATAAGTTAAGGAAGGCATTATATGGTTTGAAGCAAACACCGCATGTATGCTATAGTAAAATTGATGGATATTTTCAACAAAATGGGTTCTTGAGGAGTGAGAATGAATCTACTCTCTATTTGAAGAAGGAAGGTAAAAATTATTTCATCATTATTTGTCTTTGTACTGATAATATCATTTATACAAGCTCCTCTAGTTCTCTTGTGACTGAATTTAAATCACATATGATGCATGAGTTTGAAATATTGGATATGGGTTTGCCACGTTATTTACTTGGCCTTGAAGTTCAACAGGTCGAAGATGGAATTTTTATTTTCAAAGAAAATATGCTAAGGATCTTCTTAAGAAATTCAGCATGATTAATTGCAAGTATGCAGCTACACCCTTGAATGTCAATGAAAATTTCAGCATGATGATAGGGGGAGAAATGGCTAATGTTATAAGCTTTACAAGCTTTGTTAGAGGATTAATTTATCTAACTCACACTCGACCTAATATTGCATATTCTATTGGTGTAATCTCTAAGTTTATGCAAAATCCATCAAAGTTTCATTTTAGAGAAGCAACGCGAGTCTTGCATTATGTTGCTGGAACTATGGATTTGGCATTTGGCACTCAAAGGCTTATAATTTCAGTTTGTGTGGGTTCATAGATACTGATTGGGCTACTTCATTGGATGATAGGTGAAGTATTTCAGCAAATGTTTTTACTCTTGGGTGAGGAGTAATTACTTAGAGCTCAAAGAAGCAAGCCACAGCAGCACTATCTTCCTCAGAAGCTGAGTATATAATAGCCACTTCAGCAGCTTGTCAAGCCATTTGGTTGAGGAGAATGCTAGCAGAATTACAGCATAAGCAATAAAGAACAATGGATATGTTCTATGATAACAAAGCAACAAGCTTCATGACAAAGAATCCAACTTTTCATAACATAACAAAGCATATTGATATTTGATTCCATTTTGTTAGTGATTTGGCTGCTAAAGAGGATATTTTTTTAAAGTATTACAGAATAAACAAGCAATTTGTTGATATGTTCACTAATGCATTATCTAAAGAGAAGTTCATCTATTTTAGAAATCTTCTTGGTGTGGAATGATACTCTATTTATCATTTTATTACCTGAACAAATTTCAAGCATTTGCGAATTCTTCCATCAATAGAGGACATGATCATTGCCATGGTCAAGTGTCTAAAACAAATGACACTTAAGATGATGTTAAAAATAAATTGAAAAGCCAACAATCAAATAGAGGTCGTGGAAGTGTAAGAGAAAAAGAGAACTATAGAAATTCTAACAAATCTAATGTTGAATGTTGAAACTATTTACATATATGGACATTATGTTTGGGAATGTTGTCATCTTTCAAACGAAAAGGAGGAGCAAGCCCATTTTGTCAATGATAGACAATGATAGATAATAGTTTTGAGATTCAAGAAAAAAGAAAAAAGTTGCAAGATAATTTTTCAATAATAGAAAATGATAGACAATAGTTTTGAGATTTAAGGCAAAAGAAAAAAGTTACAAGAATCTAAATCCCAACGAAAAAGGCAAAAGTCTCGTAATCCCTGATGTCAAAGACATCAACACAAGATAACAAAATGCAAACAATTATATTTTGTGAAGTTGCTTCCTTACATAAATATAATTATTTTTAAATACTTTTCTTTTAGATCAAAACAAAATTATGATTTATAGGGCACTAAGAGGATGGTGTCCATGTAGAAAAGAAGCTACGCAATAAAATATCTATTAGACTGTATATACAGAATGAAGGGTGATAGGTCTGAAACCATAAATCCCTGATCCAATAAAAAAGGAAGAGAAGCCTTTAAAGTCCATTCTATACCTCATACCAAATGACTAAGAAATTCCACCCAATCCCAAACCTCTATCAATACTTGATCCCAGCCTTCCTACTGACTCTAGTACACCTTTATTTATTTTCCACCGTTAAACCTTTCACCTATCTCCTAGATTTTGTTTTTTCTCAGCCATATCTTGGAACCACTAGATTATTTGCCTAACAAAAGTTCAATCTTGGAAAGGAATAGACTAAAAAAATTTTAAAAGAAAAACTAGAAAGCTTCTCTAAACCATGCCAAAAGTAGACATATGTAGATAAAAATGGAAATAATTACAAAGATAAAGTGACACTTGACTCTTCAAAGAGAGCAATGATAGATCTTTCAATTTCTTGTGAACAACCAATTTCAAAATGTATTTTTCTCATTTTCTGTAATCCAAAAATATTAATTTGATAAACAAAGTGTACAAAGATGGACATAATTTTTAGAAGCCAATAAAGCAAAGGTGAGATTGGGGGTAGGGGGTTTAGGGTGTTTGAGCAAGTTTAATAGTTCATGTACATAATACT